ATGATTTTCATTTCATAACAATTCTAACCTACAAAAAGTTCTTAACTACCACCGCGGGTTTTTCGTATGTATGTTAAATATCCTCTAGAAGCCCATAATGTTTTTTTTTTCTCATCTGCATTTGAATTTCTCGGGAGCAATCCAGTTTATCTCAGATTATGATAGACGTTAATTTTTAAATTTCAATTTCGGGAAAAACTTATTTAGTACAAAAAAATCCCCAAAAATGTATTGGGTGTATGCATTAAAAAAGGGAATTTCACGGTAGATGTCACCACTTGTTTGTGCGTTGTAGTAGATCAATGACAGATACGTCATTTGAAAGGCCTATTCAAATGCTGTCAAAATCAGTCAAAAAGTGTTCCATTTGTTTATGCGTATCATATTTTTTTTCAGCGATGGAAAATTTTGAAAGTTGGAGAAAGAAACAGCATTTGCGAGAAGTTTTGTAAAGCTATTTTTTGCAAAGAAAACATGCTCTCGTAAAATCAAAATGTTACGACTGGTTTCAACGCTTCAAAAGTGGTGACTTTGATGTTCGTGACAAAGAACGACCAGGTCAGCCAAAAAAGTTGGAAGATGAGGATTTGCAAGCATTATTGGACGATGATCCATGTCAAACGCAGAAAGAACTTGCAATGGCGTTGAATGTCGAGCAGGCAACCATTTCTAAACGTCTACATGCAATGGGAAAGATCCGAAAACTGGGCAAATGGGTGCCACATCAACTCAATGAAAATCAATTGAAAGCACAAATCACAGCATGCCAAAAACATCTTGCCGAGCACAAGAAACATAGTTTTTTGAGTCGAATTGTCACGGGCGATGAAAAGTGGGTCTATTACGACAACCCCAAACGTAAAGGACCGTATGTTGATCCAGGCCAACCAGGACCATCGCAGTCAAAACGAGACATTCATTGCAAGAAGGTCATGCTGTGCATTTGGTGGGATCAAAAAGGTGTCGTGTATTATGAGCTGCTAAAACCAGGTGAAACGGTTACAGCCCAACGCTACCGCATGCAATTAATCAAAATGGAGCATGCATTGAAGATTTAACGGCCACGGATAGCGTCTAAACAAGACAAAGTTGTGTTTCACGATGATAATGCCAGGCCACATCGAGTAGACATCGTTAAAAAAAAGTACAAGACTTCGGTTGGGATCGGCTTGATCAACCCGCGAACTCTCCAGACCTTGCTCCTTCTGACTACCACTTGTTTGGATCGATGCAAATGGGTTTGTCCGAGATATCGTTTCGAAATCCTGAAGGAGTGCGAAAATGGATCGATGAATGGATAGCCTCAAAAGATGAGGAATTCTTTCGACGCGGAATCGACAAGCTACCAAGAAGATGGGCCGAAGTCATAGCTAACGATGGGCAATACATTGGTTAAAAAATATTGTACAGTTGTTTTTAAATAAATGTATCTTTTCAGCAAAAATTTTTCCTTTTTTAATGCATACACCCAATATATTTTTCCAACAATTATACTTTTTTTTTGATGTACCTCTGAACAGATGATTTTGGTTGTTGACTATCGTTTTACGGTATAAATGAGTCCTATGTAAAAAAAAATTATGTAACGTTCAAATGTATAATTAGTTATGATAAGTGCAAAAATAATCCGCACAACATTTTAAACGGCTACGACAAAAGCAATAAAGGCAAATGCTTTAAGAGAAATAACACAAGGCTAGAGCATTTCACGATATGCTTAAGTTGGATGATTCCAAAACACATGAGAATATAACTAAAATATACAGATGGAGATTTGTGGAGTAGTTTGAGATCTATATAGTGTCGGCAAAAGGCGAAACTCATTCTTTCAACGCAAAAAATATTTCGCTCCTTCACTTTCGCGCGTCAACAATTTCAAATTCTCAACACATTGCTTGTAAATCCAAAGTCTGCATGAATACGAGTACAATTATAATGTTTTCTTTTCGATCTCTGCAACAGCTTACGTTCACCGCTTTCTTAAACATTTTAATGCGGCATGGTAAAAAATATGTGCGCGTGCAGATACGAGAACGAGCTCACAAGCGCAGGCACGGTTACAAAATGTGAATAAAATTTTATCACCATGTAAGACATGATAAAATATTTAATATTATTTATATTTGACGTTGCCATTGCTTTTGCTGTTGTCGTTGATGTTGATGATGTTTTACCAAAATGTGTGAGTGTCCGTTGTAAAGTTATACACATACATGCACTACGATTTGATATGATACACCTAGATGTAGTGCTGTACATAAAACTCGGTTTTGAAACAGTGGTTAGCTATGAATGTTATGCAAAACATAATCGACAAAAGCTTCCACCGCTTCTCAACAATTGGCATGCTTTTGAAGCGGCCTTCATAGAATGGGATGCAAGAATTTTACGGTACATGAATTCATTCATTCACATGTTACATCCAAGCAACTAGTATATTTCTAGTCAAACATCGAGCAGTATTACAAACCCAAACAACACTAAAATCATATCGATTTGAATAGCGAATATATATTTAGGTGTGTCTTTAATATATGTGCAGTAAATGTGCACACCAACAGAATTAATACCTAGCTTCATATGTTTTGACATATCTACGAAACAAGTTAATAATAACATGAACAACCGAAAAACAAAAGCATTCTAACAAAGCATCATGAGAGTAGTCAAAAACTAGATCCAGTTTGTAAGTATAATCATTTTGAATGGGAATTGAACGTGAGTTAAAATTTCAAGATCATTATATTGAATTTCCCTATAAATATAATAGCAAGCGATATATTTCTTTCCAAAAATTCATCTTATTTTTGAGATTGTGATGAAATTCGTAATAGAATTCCTCTGACTACAATAATTTTAACTGACTCAACTACGATCTAAGTGGAAGAATTTGACATATTTAAATTCCATGAATACATAATTAACCATCTAATGCATTAAATTGATCTAGAGCTGGGACTCATTATCCAGTTGATATTGTTGTGAGAAAAACAATACCTCGCCTAAAGGTAGAGCCAAGCATTAATCATATTTTTTGCAACAATGACTAGAAAAATACTAAAAAACATATATCTGACAATAAGGATAAATTACTTTTAAAAATTATTCAAAAATTCTGTGAGTTGAGAGAATAATTATTTTTTTCACATCATACGATTATACGCATTTTCTAGCCTGCAAATAAATATCTCCCCAAAAACCACTGAACTCTATATAATCAAAACGTTGCGAAAATATCTCACTTTTACCCGTCAACGCCACCGACACCAATGTCGACCACCATCAGTGTCGTGAAGATCTAACTTTCTAATAGGAACTTTATTATCCCGCATTTTATAATGCGGTAATAGTTTTTAGTGCTTCGTCATTATTTTAAACATATTTTGGTAGGCTAGGTAACAAAAATTGAAGTATTTACGATTAATTGTACAAATTAAGTGATCTTTACGATTCAACCAAATCTTCATCGAGAGTAAATTATTCAGAGAATATTTTCTATTGTTTTTATCTTATTTTCAAAAATCAAAATTGTTTTTGTCACACAATCGGAATGTCCCATTCTCAGCAAGCATATATTTTTCTCAACAAGATATATTTTATACTCTGGATGGCAGAAGCGCTGAGTGAAACTCTGCTGAAAATATTCGAATTTTACCGAGAACGTATCCACAAAAATTGCTCACCACTGAAAATAATGTTTTCTTTTATTGAATGATATGACTTTTTTTTCACAGAAAAACGAAACAGAAATAAAAACAACATCAACATCTTTGCTGTACTATAAAAAAATATTCGTTCACAATTTCACGCTACAGTCAACTACGTAGAGGAAAGCGAAACAACAAATAAAATGATGTTATTTATTGGGCGGATGTTGATTTCAGTTTTGAGATATTTTTTGAAAAATGTACACTTCTTAACATTGGCCTATTTGATTGTATTTTAGCTGAATCAAGATTTATTGTGCAGACGCAAACATTTATATATACTATGGAATTTTGTAACTGCCAAATAAAAACACTTACACACTTTTATTGGATATCAATTTCTTTTTTATATGTTTCGGATTTTTAGCTGAAACAAGGATCAAATAAAAACTGCAACGTTAAAACCAAATTTTCGAATATATGTATTACTACAGTTTGGGTGAAAAATACTTTCAAAAGATTTGGTCAGTTATTGTATCTATATCTTATGTAGATGAATTTGAAACTAATTAATATTTGTATTCGCTTTGTTCTTTCATGTTGTTTGTTGTCTATGTGAGCTAATAGGTTCATGATATATTAAATCATTTGATATGCATATTTAGATCAAAATTAGTAAAAATTATAGATTATAAACTATAAAAAAATTCATATATTATATATTTTATATATATCTCAACTCACATTTTATGCACACAAAAAATAAACCTGACAAATCATTTTAGGATTCCTATTAAAATATTAATTTGTAAGGTTTCCTTATAATATGGCAACATTTTATTAGGAAACCTTTAAATAATAAAACATGTTTTGTTTCAACACAGTGAAGTTGGCTTTGACGTTTAAGCGCGCCAATTTATCAGGATTCCTGTTAAAATATTGCGATTTTATAAGGAAACCTAACAAATTCATTTTTTAATAGGAATCCTAAAATAATTTGTGGGGTTTATCTCTTGTGTGTGGTATTTAACTCAAACTTAATAGTGTTTTTTTTTTTCCAATTTATTTATTTATTGGTTATTGGCGTTGATATGTCAACATAGTATGTAAATAGGGGAATTTCAATATTTTGATCAATACATAGTTTATTTTAAGCTTAAAAAATCTTTATTTTAGAGAGAAATAATGACCAAATTAAACTTAGAATTTGATCACAGTTTTGTTATGGTTAAACCAACAAGAATAAATATTATTGAATTCAAAAGTGCCGACGGGAACGAATTATAATTTTGAGGAATGCTCTTTCAAGTATTTCTGTTACAATAAATGTTCAATATCATATAAACAAATTACCTGTGCCTGTAAAGGTGATCCTCGAAACGGAAAATGTGACATTATTTTTTCGCCGGCAATAAAAGATCGCCGATCTCGATTAAGCGTTTCAATCATCCACTTTTTAGCTCCTTCAATAATATCGATGTGCTGCTATCCAAATAAATAGTACAATATTGTAAAGTTTAACACACACATTCAAAATTCTATTGCCTGTTTCTAATATTAGTCGTTTTTTTTTAAAGAATAGCCACAAATAATATTTTGCTATTATTTCATCTTACAAATCACTTAGAATTTTTTTGTCATTAATGGTTTTTTTTGCACAATACCGTTCATTAAATGCAAGGAAATAAATTTCGATTTTCAGTCTATATAATTTGTAGTTCTTTTTTAAAATACTTTACTAATTTCGAATATTTCAATCACATATAATTCATTATATTCATCATAACATATTATTTTTAAATTTTTAGCTTACTTCAAAAAATTCAAGAAAGTATTTGAATGAAGAATTTTTATTATGTAACATTCACCAATAGAATAAAAAATCCGGCGAAACAGATTAAAATTAAATAGGGAACAGCACAAGTGTGGTGCAGTAGCCAAAGCTTCACTGCTTGCGTTGTATGTCACCTGGTAGATAATTGCCACAAACTCAAAAATACGATACACAGCATGCACCGCAAACGACGACGCCGATGACGTAAACACTAACAAAACTAGAATTCAATCAAAACGCGAAAACCAACCATGGCACGCAACACACACACATTGGCTGTGATGTACACAAAGGATACGAAACAGCTTAAACGATGTACTGAACAATGCACGTCACGACTTCGTTTCGACGCTATGTGTCGGTAATTCAATTGTATGGTTAGTACCACAACCAACAATGTTTACAACATAAACAGAAACGAATGAATAATTTTGCTGCGCGATTTATCGATCACGGATATTTTCATGCGCGCATGTAAGCCTGAACGTTTATATGTATGTCGCGTCAGAAAAAAATAAAGGGAAGTTTTGGAAAGAAGAAAAAAGAAGAAAAAGAACATATTCAAATCGTTCAAAACTTGTACGAAATATTGAATCTGCCAATCTATAGTATCTTCAAACGATTCTTTTTATTTTTGTAACAAATTGAAGAAAACACACGTTTGAACGCCGTACTGAATGTTATTACCAATCAAAGAATACGATGATTAGCGGCACTTTATACGAACGTTTAGCATACTCAACTAACTCAAACGCTCTGGTTTAACGTGCGGACAGTTCGTTCACGTAAATAGGAGGAACAGTTGACACCTCCTTTTCTTTTAATAAAAAAAGTACACAAATACATACACTTCTCTATTCGTATGTGAAAAATGATGTTCGTCGCTTCCACAACTACAATCAAATGATGTAATCACGCGTTTTGAACTTTACATGTATCTTATAATCATTCGCGTTATTCGTGTTTTCATCGTTTTCTTGAGTATTTCGTTTTGTGCATATGTGAGTGTTGCGCATGATTATTATTTTTGAGCAAAAATGCAGCATGTATAGCTGCTGTTCACGCGTCTAATGTGAAGCCTATTCAGTTCGTATGACATACTCAAAAAGCTATTCAGTTGTTTTGATGAATTCGTCATGCCCTTTTATTGAAAAACTGATTTTTTTTACATACTGTTCGATTAAAATACCGAGAATCAGTAAACCATTTTTTTTAAATATAAACTATTTTGATTTTATTTTTGAGGAAATAGTCTAGTTTTTTGGTGTATAATAACTGAATAATAATTTATTCCAATCTCAATAACGGATGCAAAAAAAAATTAATAAAACAATTTTGATGTTAGTTTAATGTTATAAACATTGTGAAATGAATGATGATCATATACTAGGCAACACGCTTTGTGGTCGGCTCAGAAGAGCAAATAAAAAATGTTGAATTCGTTGTATGCTACCGAAAATTCATTCAACACATTTTCTTTCCCCCAGGCGGAGATTACATGTTTCTGTATGCTAAGCTTATACAAAAATGTTTTCATTTATTTTGGCAACCAACAACCGTGTTCTCCTTCCATTTAATAAAAGAATATGATACAAATTTGTTCCCCACTTTTTCACAGGAGATGCTTTCTCTTTCACTCAAGAAAAGCCGTCAATAGCAAACTGAATATTTCAAATAAAACAGAACAAGTACAAGTTATTGGCCTCACTCGTCGATGCCACATCTAAATGAACGAATGTAAATGTAATCGCTATTTGAGCGGTTTCATCGTGTGTACAAGCATTCGTGGAAAAAAGGCGGACCTGAAGCCAGCATAGACATAAGAGTAACACTGTACAAAGCGGAACGTAAAATAAAGCAGAAAACTATATGAATACCAACCGCCACAAAAATAAAACATAACATACATGGCATAACAGAAAAAACATCAATTTTCCAGCTCTTCATTCCATCAGCGTGCTCTGCTTGCTCTTCAATGGATCAATATTAGCATTTTACACAATCGCACACAAATACACAGTCATTATATGCGATTCAACATTTTTCAACAATTATATTCATTTATATGTTTTCAATTGACCCATGAGGTGCCCTGGAATACTATAACAAGTAGATGATGTTAGCGGTTGCATTGGCACTTCTTATTTTTATTTTTTTTATCCTTCTTTTTTTTGTTATTAGTTATTATATCCCAGTCTCTGAGAACTTTTGGTATTTAGTTTTTGTAAAAATAATAATTATTAAAATTATACAGAATTTATAATAACAATTAATTTAGTATTCGCGGGGATACACTGATACATTCCAAGGAAAAGTGTTAAATGTATTCATTGACAAGTCTGCTATAATGTAGAATAAATTGTCAAATGATAAAGTACAAAACATAACACATAAACATATACTGAAAAAAAATAACACATAAAACAAAACACGAAAACTTCTGCTCGCCAGGGAATATGTAGGAAACCACGCCTTATTTGGTCAAATCGCCTATGTATATCGCCTTTACTGGTATTCTTTTTTCACCTTTTTATCTCAAATATTTTTTAAGAATCAAATTTTTACTTATATTGAAAATTTTAAAACTCTCCAATCCAAGCTATATAGCTCCAAATCAAAATGCATAAAATTTGAAAACGAAATGATCTCGCTTAATTTTTATTGTGGGTTCAATTCTCTTCAATTACAAAATTATGTGTTGTATTTATTGTGCTTCAAAACAAATATTTGTTCCAAATATAATTACATTGTTTTTGTGCATTAACAAAATTCTCGTATAGTTAGTTTCTCATGAAAAAAACTTTTGTCAATTCAATGTTGGAGTATTGAACTAAAATATATCGAAACTTTAACTATATCTTTTATGTGCGATTGGTTTGAACTACTGAATCCATCACTACTGTACCATCACTGCGCTAATAACAGTTCTATTCGGTCATCATAAAATACAATTATTATCTAAAACAAACAACAATTCGGAAACCCAATGATGACAGATATAAATTGGCGCCTCGGTGTAATTTTTCTGACAGAGCAGAAGATGTCAATATATAATAATATATATATGAAAAGACTGTTTGAAGTCACATAGAGCGTCTGACATCTATTGTCACGTTTAAAATACATATAAATTTACCAAAGAAAAATTTCAAAATAATGTAAAAAATCTATTATATTCTACTTTTTCGGAACAGAAATATTTATATAAAATATTTCTGTTGAAAAAAGTAAAATTTACTATGTAATATATACATACATCTTAATTCTCAGTTCAGAGAGTTGTATAAACATTTTTTATGCATTTATTTAATTCAAATTATCAACTAACAAGTTATTTATCGTTTAAACTAAGAACTTATATTGTAATGATAAAAATGTGGCTTCTGATATTCATTGATTTTTATAGTTCGAACTTTTGTTTTTTGTCACGTTGTTCCTTTATTCTTGCTGATTACAAGAAGATTCGAATACAGAGAAAATCATTATATTTATTAATTAGACATTTGTATTCTGTTCCGTGTGCTTTGTTTTATAGAATCTTCTTCTTCATGTCAGTGTTCATTTGGAATTTTGTTTGTTGCTTGTTTTATAACTTGTTATAAATTATATATTATAAAAAGCTTTTATCCCGCAGTTTTATCTTATTTCTTTTTTAAATTTGTGTATGGGCCAGGCCACTGGCCATTATTTTCTTTACTTCCATTCTATGCCTTTCGTTTTTTTCAGCTATTTTTTTATTTTGTTCTTGACATGTTTTTTATTCGTTCACATTGTCACTAATTGAAATCTTTTATTGTAAATGAATTTTAATACTTTTCGAGCAGTTTTATGGGTTTTGACAAAAGTGCTTTTGTTTTAATTGGATTTTAATCAAAGGAAAACACCGACACTACTCAAATATAGCATCGTAATGAAACCGCATCTGCTTTTGTGAATAAATTTAAATTAAATGCGTATATTTGTTTTTTTTTCTCTTCTGCCTTTTCATTATTAGTTTTTAGGCATTTCAGTTCAATTTTGGTTGAACTTGCTTCAGCATATGAATGGATTTATGCATCCCATGATTCGAATAGACTTGTCCAAATATCAGCCCCTAACGAGAGAATTCCGGAAATAGGAGATTAGTCAAAAATCGTCTATGCTGTTTGAAATGTTATGGCAATTGTCACATACACTATGCATTTATAAATAAGCGATTGACGTTTAATTTCTTGGAATGTCCACAAAAAACCGCCAATGAAAAAAGAAGATACCTCCAAAAGTCATTGAAACAGAATTTGACTCTTTTACTTGAACAGATAAAGATCAATTTCATGGAGAGAGCAAGCTTACAAAACACACGATACCATATTTGCTTCAGTCCATCAATAGATGGCTAATGCATTTGTATGAATATGAATACTAAACATGCATGAGTGGCTAATATGTGTTGGGTTTGATCTGATCTTTTTTACTCTTTGTCCCTTTTCTAAAGGTGCACCGAAGTAGAAACATTTCATTTACATGTGCTGCTGCTGTTGCTGTGATGATTGCTGATGACGTTGTTACTACAACACCATCACACAATTTCCGTTCATTTTAATTCAGTTAACACCTTACGCACAGCGGGATGCTAATTCATTGAATTCATTGAGATGAGACGTACAAAAAAGACGTATCACTCACATGTGCATGATTCAAAAAGTATAACATAAAAAGTGACCAAAAATGCTTTGTTATTATATTAGAGTTT